CTCCCCCCGGACTCTGGGCCCTCTCCCCCCGGACTCTGGGCCCTCTCCCCCCGGACTCTGGGCCCTCTCTCCCTCCCTGCTCCAGGCTCCAGATGAGGAAGCTGCAGCCCAGTGGAACCTAAACCCCGCCTTAATGGCAGCATTTCACCCACATCTGAATAAACGCTACCTGCAACCGTAAAGCCGATCAGTTTAGGGAGTTGAAGGCGATAGAACGAGTTGTGTTTTGTTGCCGACAGCAGGGTGTTTTGCTCAGGGAGAGTGGCGGGTTACCCAACGGGCGGGGCGGGGAGGGGAGGGGAGGGGCGGGGATATGGAGGAGATGGGCGGGGCCTGGCGGAGATGGGCCGGTCGAGGGCGGGGCCTGGCGGAGATGGGCGGGGCCTGACGGTGATGGGCGGGGCTTGGCTGGGCGGGGCCTGGTGGGGCGGGGCTTGGCGGGGCGGGGCTGCCCTCTCACCCAAGCTGGAAACGGAAATAGCAATGGCGGCGGTGCGGGCGTCCGGCATCATGAAGCGGTTCTCGATGTTTAGGCAGTTTTGTTATTCAGGTATTTCGTTGTGAAATATTTCTTAGTGTGAATTTAAAAGTTTCAATGGTAGGAGATAAATAACTTTATTCTGTCCTGACAGATATTCGACGTACTCTGAGTGAGTTAGTTACCAAAGTTGGTGTTTTGTAGAAACAGGCCGTTCATTGCTGCTGATGTCCACTTTGGGTCACTTAATTCATTTAATGTCGTTAGGGTAGTGAACAGTAGGATTGCACTGTTTGCTAGGCGTCTGGATTAAAAATGCGCGCACACGCACACACCATTTAATAATCTATAAATTATTTCCGTAGGGTAAACCCTCAAATTAAAAAATGCACTAGGTATTTTCAATCAGAAGAAACCTGATTACTATCAGTCTTAAAGACAAATATTTATGGCGTACTAAAAACAAGCTGCTGGGAAGACTCAATAGATAGGGCAACATCTGTCGAGAGAGATCGGAGTTAAAATTTCGAGCCTCACACGACTTTGGAATTTATTAATGATACCTGTCTCCAAGGAATGAGTCTTGTTTTGTTTTAATCTCTGGTGTTCGATTTAGTGAAGGTGTGCTTGGTGCTAAGCAAACAGATGGCTCGAAGTAGAGGATGAATGTTTCCTTTTATGTACTTAAAAACCACGTCTTTGCAGAACTAATTTACACACTAGACGAAATGTACGCTTTTCAGTGCCACCTGAATACCAGTTTAATTGTTAGGTTGCTTTTGTCAGTAGCAACATTTGAGTCAGAAAGTTCTGGATTCAAACACTGCTCCTCAAATGAGGCACAAAATGAATAAATAACCTCCGTTCTGAGGAAGGGTCACCGGACCCGAAACGTTAACTCTGTTTTCTCCTCCACAGATGCTGCCAGACCTGCTGAGTTCTTCCAGCAACTTTATTTTTGTTCTTGAATGAATAACTAATTTTTGATATGCATTATCTATAAATTAGATGTGAAATGAAAGACTGGCCTGGTTCATTTGGATGTTATACCCATATTTGGAAAGAGTAAGAGCCATTCTCTACATTTGGCTGACCCTGGATTTCAGGATGATTTCTACTTTGTCCATGAGTTTCTGTTTTGTCTTTATGGACTGTACAGGCCAATCTCGACCTGCAAATCTTCAAGCATATAGGACAGGATGCTCCATGAAGTATTGGCATTGGGAATGCAGGAATTCTTCCACTTTTTCCCTTCTCTAGTACAGCTGTTCCTCCATGATGCAGCTTGATGGACAAGTTGTTGCCATTTTGAATGATTAGCGGCAAGGTCCTCTCATTCATCAATTGGAGTGTTGCCACACTTGAGGGAAAGTTTGAGTAAATTGTGGCATTCTTTTTGTCCTGGCTGCAACACTAGCCATCTAAGAATTGAGAAAGCAGGACCTGCTGATGAAGTCACTTTTCAGTCATCCTAACATGCTGTGCACTCCAATTATACTTGATTTTTGAATGAGTTTTGGCAGAATGTTTCAAGTAAGACACTGATGTTTGTTGATTGATTTCTCAAGTGAATCTAGAGTATAGTGGAGGCATTGCTGATAGAATTTCTCTTTTGATATTACGTGTTGCTCATGTAGGTGGAAATTACTGAAAATGCTCCAGATCTGAGATTAAAAACCAAGTACTGGGGGAACTCTAGGTCTAGTAGCATCTGTGGAGAGAGAAGTTACCATTTCAAGTCCAATTTAACTCTTTCTGCTCAGTTTCTCCAGCGCTTTACTTTGGTTACTTGTGTTGTTGATGCATAATCCAGGATGCAGCACAGTACACAAGCGTTGTGACAACTGCACTGTGCATTGAACCTCTTTGACTTGTGGAGATCTTTGTTGCCAAAAGCTGTCTGCCATAGTTTGTAGAAGGCTGAACTGGTGCAGCTGATCCAGTGTTAGGTCTCTACATCAGTCTGCCCTTTTATGAGAGATGATTGCTAAGGTTTGCATTGCGAAGTCAAAGAACAGAAGTAGGCTGTTTGGCCCTTTGAACCTACCTTGCCATTCTAGAGTGTGGCTGAGCATCTTCTTGATGCTATTTTCTCGCACAATCCTATATGTCATTATTCTCCAGAAACCTATAGATTTCTGTCTTGAACCTGCTCAATGATTGACCCAAATATTGAGATTCCTTCATCTTTAGAAGGTGCAATAGTTGATTGACCAAGTCCGAGTTCTTAGGATAAAAAGGCAGATGTTGGAGATCTGAATGAAAAACAGAAATACGAGAGAAACGAGCCATCTGACGGCATCTATTGAGAGAGAAACAGATTCAAGTTTGACTGAGTCTCTTCTATACAGAATTGAGAAGATGAGTGGTTTACGAGTCTGGTGCAGAGTGAGCAGCAACACTATAGTCATCTGTATATTGTAGGTCCTGTATGTCTATGCTGGTCAGTTTAATTTTGGCTCAGTGGCAAATGAGGTAAGTTTTCATCTCAGTGGTATTTGATGCTCACACCAGACGACACTTGATCTTAGAACTTGGAACACTGCTGTCAGGTAGATGGTAAATAGTGTAAAAGCAACCACATAGCCTTCTTGACATTTTGGATTTTGATGGCATCTGTTTCAGAACCTGACTCAAGACATTTGGAGTCATCGTTATGCAGCAGTTGCAGGAGTGTGAAGAAGTTACTTAGACATCAATTTTTGGAAAACAATCCACACCATTTACTGAATCAAATGCTCTGATCACCCTCAAAGAGATATTTCCCTCCCCACCCATGTCTGCCTTTCGTAGGGACCGCTCACTCGGTGATCCCCTTGTCCACTCCACACTCGTCATCAACCCCACCACACCTGGCACCTTTTCCTGCAACCACAGGAGGTGCTGCACCTGTCCCTAAACCTCCCATCTTGCCTCCATCCAATGCCCAAGACAAACTTTCCAAATCCGACACAGGTTCACCTGTACATCCTCCAACCTGGTCTACTGTACCGTTGCTCCCGATGTGGCCTCCTCTGCATCGGTGAGACCAAGCGCAGACTCTGGGACCAATTTGTGGAGCATCTGCGCTCTGTATGCTATAGTCAATAACACCTTCTGGTTGCCAACCATTTTAACTTCCCTTCCCACTCCATTAGTGACATGTCCATCCTGGGCCTCCTCCAGTGTCACAGTGGTGCCGCATGCAAACTGGAAGAGCAACACCTCATATTCTGCTTCGGGAGCCTGCAGCCCCATGGCCTGAACATAGAATTCACCAGTTTCAAAATCTGCCCATTCCCCTGGCCTCATCCCATGTTCAACCCTCCCTCTCATCCCTGTATCCTTGACCTGACACAACCTGTCCATCTTCTTTTCCACCTATCTGCCCCACCCTTCTCACTGACCATCTCCACTACCCACATCCATCTGTCACCATCCCACCTATCTTACCCCAGCCCCACCCCTCCTTTCTCTCTTTCCCAGCTCCCTTCCCCCTCCTCAGTGCTACCAATGCAAGTCATGGGTTATAGGACTTGAGTGAATAAATTAAATTGACTCCCAGTGTATTGGCAACAAATGTACCTTGTGGATAAGATTGTTTTGTTGGGATCCTGATTGTCTGTTTCAATAGTTCATTTCTGCATCAAGAGATGTCTTCTGTAAATAGATCCACTGAATATTCACCATGAGCTATTTCATAGAATCCATACAGTGTGGAAGCAGGCCATTTGGCCCATTGAGCCCACAGCGACCCTCTAAAGAGCATCACACCCAGAACCACCCCCTACCCTACCTCAGCACTATGGGCAATTTAGCATAGCCAATCCGCCTAACCTGCACATCTTTGGACAGTGGGAGGAAACCGGAGCACTTGGAGGTAACCCATGCAGACATGGGGAAAATGTGTGGAGTTTGCACGATTGCCCGAGGCTGGAATCGATGAAGGGTCTAGGCCCGAAACATCAGCCTTTCTGCTCCTATGATGCTGCTTGGCCTGCTGTGTTCATCCAGCTCTGCACCTTGTTGTCTCGGATTCTCCAGCATCTGCAGTTCCTACTATCTCCGAACCCTGGTCCCTGGTGTTTTGAGGCAGCGGTATTAACCACTGAGCCACAGTGCTGCCAATACTTTGCAAAATGCCACGTTTGACTACTTGACATCCTAAACTGAATCCATTTCAGTCTTGAAAAATCTTTATTAAAATCTTACAAAGACATGAGTTATTTTAAATATAATCAAAAATTTAAAAGCTGCTTTAGGTACAAAAAAACTTAATTTCATTGCTTCAAATCCCAAGAGGCTGCATCTCAAATTAACTTTTAAATAGCTCCCAGATTGGGATGTGTATTTGTTATATATCTAGTATGTATTCTATAACTTTCACAAGTTTAATATTTCAAAATGTAAGAGAAGTTCAATTAATGTGATATTTCCTCTTGAATCTCTCAGCCAGAAAATGATGCAGGGATAGTTCGATGATTGTTGAGGAAAATAAAGGCTAATCTGAAAATACTAATAGTTCATTTCTGCATCAACAGATGTCTTCTGTAAATAGATCCACTGAATATTCACCATGAGCTATTTCATAGAATCCATACAGTGTGGAAGTAGGCCATTTGGCCCATTGAGCCCACATCGACCTTCTAAAGAGCATCACACCCAGAACCACCCACTACCCTACCTCGGCATTATGGGCAATTTAGCATAGCCAATCCGCCTAACCTGCACATCTTTGGACAGTGGGACGAAACCGGAGCACTGGAGGAAACCCATGCAGACATGGGGAAAATGTGTGGAGTTTGCACAATTGCCCGAGGCTGGAATCGAACCCCGGTCCCTGGTGTTTTGGTGTTATAGTCAATGAACATCGACAATAGCTGTTAATTAATCCTACTAGACAACTTTGTCTTGGCTCTACATTTTGTTTACATCTTTGCAAGCAGGTTTTTATTGTACAAATTTAGAGTCAAAATGAAGTAATTATGACTTTGCATCAGCACTACACTTGTGACTTCGTGTAATTTCTGTCACCAAAGACTCTTTCCACTTGGATTTGGGATGAATTTGGAGTCTGATTTGTTAGCAATAAT